ATATGTGGTAATCATGATTCCCCATTATGTGGCCTTGAAGCCTTATAAATTTTCACTTATTAATTAGAAGGGCTTTATTCTGGGCTTCTTGATATGGAAATATTTGAAGCTATAGTATATGAAGTTTTATTCAAATATTTCAAGGAAAAAGACAGACACTATGGTAACTACTATTAAGTTGGGTTATTTGGTGGTGAAGCACTAGGTTGCTGAAACAGTCATACTTTGACCTGTATTGTTATATTGTTATGTCCTGTTTTATCTCAATCTCTCCCTTATTCATTAAAAAAATTATTTAGTTAAAAAAAACATCCAACAATATGTTGTATATAAGAAACACATTTAACTCAAAATGAAATTCATAGACTAAATGCTAAAGCATGGAAAACAATATCCATGCAACAGGAATCCAGAAAAAAAAGCAGAGGTAGCTATTCTGTTTGCAGACAATTGAACTTCAAACCAAGAATGATTAAAAGAGATAAAGAAGGTCATTGCCATCTTGTGAGGGGAAAATTTCAAAAGGAAAAATAACATATATATATATAATGAAATAACTGAACTCAAACCTCTGGATAATTGGATTTGGTAGATGCTTACAGAGTGTTCTACATAACATCAGAATAGACATTATTGTCTGCTGCACATGGAACATTCTCTAAAATAGTCCATAGAACATGCTTAAGTAAATGCAAAGGAATTGAAATTATCCCATGAAGATTATCTGACGTCGTGCAAAAAATTGGAAATTAATGATAATATAAACTACAAAAACTCATAAACATATGGAAATTAATAAAAGCCTCCTTAACTACCAATGAGACACAGATGAAATTAAAGAAGAAATTAAACAGTATCTACAGTCAAAATAAAGTGAAAATAGGACTTACAGAAACCTGTGGTATGCTATCAAAGCAATCCTAAGAGAGAAATGTGCACTAGTGAATTCTCATCAAGAAAACAGAAGAGCCCAAATAAATAGCCTAATGCTATACCTGAAGCTTCTAGAAAGAAAAGAACAAGTCCACCTTAAATCTTGTAAAAGGGAGGAGATTGTAAACATTTGAGCAGAAATTAGTGCAATTCCAAATAAGAAAACAATAAAAGAATAGAAGAACTGGTTCTCAGAAAGAATAAACAATATCAATAAACTCCTAGCTAATCTTATTTAAAAAATGAAATAAAAAACTGAAGTTTATGCAATAATGAATTAAAAGTGTGAAATCACTACATATCCTGTGGAAATTTAGAAGGCTATCTGAATCTACTTTGAAAATCTTTATTTGCATAAAATAAAATCAGAAAAGAAATGAACAGATTCCTAGAAATTTATGAATTACCACAGTTGAATAAAGAAGATATAAAAGTATTGAATAACCCAGTATCAGTTAATGAAATGAAAAATGTAATTAAAATCCACCAACAAAGAAAAATCCAGTTTATGATGGATTCATGACTAAATTTTATAAGAAATTTAGAAAGGATTTAATGCTAATATACCTCAAACTCTTTAATGAAATTGAAAGAGAAATAATTCTCACTAACTCATTCCTGGAGGGAAGTACTATTCTGATATCAAAGCTAGACAAAAAATTCAATCAGAAAAGAAAACTAAAGATCAAGCTCTCTAATAAACATAAATGGAAAAAATCCTCAATAAAAAACTAACAAACAGAATCAAGCAAATCATCAAGAATATTATACACCATGACTAAGTCGTATTCATCACAGGAATGCAGGGGTGGTTTAACATAATAAAAAAAAAATAAGCACAATGTATCATATTAACAAAACCAAAGACAAAAATCACATAATCACACTAATAGATGCAGAAAAAGATTTGACAAATTCCAACATGAATTCATGATTTAAAAAAATAAAACCTACAGAAAATCAGAATAGATTGTCTGTATCTCAAGTTGACAAAAGCCCTCTATGCCAAGCTAACAACTAATATCATATGGACAAAAACTTAAAACTTTCAGTCTAAAATCAAGAACAAGACAGGGTTCTCCACTATGACTGGTCTCATTCAATATAGCTCTGGAAACATTACCCAGGACAATTAGACAAAAAAGGGAAATAAAAGAAATAAAGATGGGAAAGGAAAAAGTTAAACTATTATTATTAGCAGATGACATGATACTATACTTAGAAGACCCCAAAAACTCCACCAACAAACTTCTAGAACTAATAAACAAATTCAGTAGTGCAATGACAACATTCAAAATCAATAGCATTCTTGCACACAACAAAAAGCTCACTGAAAAAGAAATTAGGAAAACTACACCCTTCACAATAGCTTTTAAAAAAAAAGAAATACTCCAGAATCTGTCTTACAAAAGATATAAAAATTACATGAGATCAAAGCAGATACCAGAAAATATAAAGATGTCCCTTCTCATGGACAGGATGAAGCAACAATGTGAAAATGGCCATACTCCCAAAACTTTTATTCAGATTTAATGAAATCCCACTCAAAATAGCTTTAACATACCTCACACATCTAGAGAAAACATTACTAAAATTCATTTGGAAAGAGAAGGATCTTTGAATAGCAAAGGTAATGTTGGGCAACAAAAGTATGGTAGAAGGCATCACAATCCATGACTTGAAATTATACCACAAATCTACTGAGATAAAATCAGCATGATACTAGGAGTGCAGACTGGAATAACTGCTGTGGAATTCAGTGTGGAGATTCCTCCTATAGCTACAATTAGCTATTCCCCTTTGGTTATTTTCCCAGAATTCAAAACATGCAACAGTGACATATGTGCAACTATGTTTATAGCAGCACAACTTATAGTAACTCAATCTTGGAAACCACAGATGTCCCTCAATCATGGAATGAATAAAAAAGTTGTGACATTTTTATATGATGCGGTACTTCTCAGCTATTAAGGACAAACTTGAGGCTTTTATAATTAAATGGATGCAAATTGAGACCATACTCATGAATGTAACAAATCACTCTCAGGTGTAAACATTATACTGTCTCCTTAGTGCAAAAATCTGAAAGAGTAAATAAGACCCAAGATGTATGATAGATACTGTGAAAACAAAAGGGGAAAATTTGGTCAGAAGGAAAGAGCAACTGGGGTGCTGGGGTAGGGGACAGGAGAAAAGAAAGAAGAGAAAAGAAAAAAATTATGTATGTATATATGATACATAATTCATACTCCTAATCTCGATAAGTTCATCAAAAGAATGGTGTATGTTTTCATTGTTTGATCATTTTTTCATACTTATATTTTGTAATCTGAGCAATTATTTGAAGATAAAACACAATACAGTAATAATTGTTTAAAATACTGTGTTGGTTGACAAATCTACACCATTGTATTTAGTCTTTTTGGATTTTTTGTTTTACAGTTTAAGAATGTGATTTATAAATAAAATGGAATATTACTTAGCTATAAAAAGCATAATATCAAATCATTTGTAGGAAAATGGGTGGAACTAGAAACTATCATGTTAAGTGAAATTGATCAAAGAGAATTAAATATTGTTTTCTCTTTTGTTATAAGTATAAAAAATAAGCAAATAAAATAAAAGAACAAGAAACCATGAAGAATACTTCTGCAATGTGTCAGGAGTCAAGTTGTGGGAGCAGAAAATAAAGGGACTGAAATTAAATAAGCCATGTTAATTGCACATATCAACTTTCCAAAGTGATTTCCAATATCATGTAATAGAATGTACTAATACAGACAATCTAAAAACACTTGTGAGTTCATTTGTGAAACATTTGTGAGTTCACAGTAGTCAGTCACTGCCTTTCTGGGTTTGTGGCTATCTTTTATGTCAACATACCTGGTTTTTATTTTTTACATACACTAAATTTTGCACTCACATAGGTGAGTAATGAGAATAATGGAACATTTTCTGTTATAGTACCAATTAAATAGATTTTCTTTGCCTTTTAAAGCACAGATCATTTCATCTGAAGTATGAATGTATGTCTTTAAATTATAATTATCATAAGTCAGTGGTGGTAAGCTTATAGCATGCATACAACAGCTGTATGTTTAACATAATCGAAGTTCTAAAATATTTGCATCACTGACATAAGTGCTTGATGAAACTTTTTGTTACACATTTGAATTTGGCAGCTAGCAATGTAGATATGATTGAGAAAGTACTATGGATTGTGTTCCACATACAAAAAAACCTCTCGATAAATAAAAAGGTTTTCATTGATATATTTAATGATTCTGCACAGTACTGATGTCTATAGACAGACAGCTTTAAAATCAATCATCTATATTACAAAGTGTTGCTCTGCTATAAACTAAACACTTAGTAAGTGATGTCTAAATATACACACACCCACCAACAACATTATTTTATTATTATTATTATTATTATTATTTTGCCATCGCAATAGATTTTGTTCCAGTTAGGACAAGATTTGTGTGAACCTAACAGTGCCACTTGTTCATCTTGAGCAGTCCAGGCATTACCTTTGTGATAGTGCTTTTGCACCAGTTTAAATGGCGCAAAATGTCCATAATCTGCCGTATTTCACCACATTATGGTGTTTATTAGTTCTTGATTTTGGGTTAGTGTAAGCCTGTTTCTGACCCCAAGTTATGGATAGAAAGGGCAAACCTTTGTAAATAATGCATTTCTTTTGGTAAGGAAGTAGAGTGGGTTATGTGATGCCTATGATTATTCTGGTCTGCTTCAAAATTACTAAGATTCTTAGGGGAAAAGAGTTGGGTGTCTTTAGATTACTCAGTAGGGCTGGCCAGTTAGGTTCATCAGTTCTGTAGCCAAAGATTCAACTAGCCTTGCCTTGAAAATATATAAAATAAAAATTGTGTCTGTATCAAATAAATACCTTATTCTTTTCATGTCATAATTTTCTAAACAATACTCCATAGGTAGTTTTTGTGGTATCAGTTAGAAAGTAGTAGGGTCCTTGAAAAAGATTTCTAGAATGCTTCATGAAATCACTGGACCAGTTGTGATTCATGGTTTTGGCTTTTTTGTAGATGCTTTCGTTTATGATATTTCTCTTCAGAACTACTGGGTTTCAGTTCTTGTGGCTTCAGTACATCAGCATTCCACACATAAGCCTGACGGTAATTGTGTTTGTCTATCTTTGTGACTGGGTTTGCAGGCTGGAAGCAATCAAAATAAATCATGGTAATGCTTTACCTGACCACTGCACTATGGAGAAGTGGATTTGAAAACCCTATTCACCTTTCAGGTGAATACCTGAAAGTCAGGAAGTCACCTGGAGTTTTCTCCAGTCTCCCCACTCTCTGCAGAGGTGAAGGATATGGTAAATCTCACAGTATATGGAAGACTGACCAATTTATGAAAACATATTGTTGTGTTGCAGTTCAATAAGGAAATACATGACATGATAGGAGACTGGAATGCATAGTTTCCATCTCACCTAAGAACAAAGCAAAGACCATGTAATGCTCATACATACATTTGCTTTAGCATGCTAATCAACCCCAAAGAAAATTGTTTCTTTTAAATTTTAATGTAATGTAAGTAGGGGCTATTAGGAAGATGTAAAAATGCACTTTTCTTACTTCTAAGAAAAAAGGAAACAAAATAATTAGGAAATAGCAACAATTAATAAAATGGGTATCATAATCTTAGAATAGACAACATGCTGAGTAACAGAGTGGAAAAAAGACTCACAAAGAAGAAACAAACAGAAAAAAAAGCATACTTCCTCTCAATAAACTAAGAGAAGTTATTAATATCAGTGTGTTTCTAGCTCCCATAATTGCAACTGGTTTTGATAAAAACAAAGAGGAACAAAAGACTGTAAGCATAAATCAACACTATTCATTTTGCATCACTGTTATCGTACCAAGTTTAGCTTTTGTGAGTTATGATAGAAGAAAGACAGAGGTACAGTTTGAGGTAACGTTTCCAGTGGTCCCCTTCTTGACCAACTGAAAATATTACCACAACCTCTATGCCTGTTCAAAGACAAGATTATAAGCCTAATTGCTTTGCTGTGACAAAAACTATTAATGTGAAACTTGATATGTTTACACGAAGAAAAGAAAAAGATGAAATACAGGGACAAAATTGTGATAAGCTTTTTAGAAAAAATTTAAAATTTAGAAATATTTACTTTGCCTTGATTCCCATTGTGTTAGGCTTTGCAGCATAATGAATTTTTGGGACAAAACTTCTGTCCAGGACTTGGTGAAACTGGAAGCAATGGCTGTCCTGACTACGTAGTGTAAGTCTGTGTTCAGTGTTATAATGAATTTGCTTTCTTCTGTGGTGCAATGGGGGAAAGTCCTTTGGCTTATAGTTACTAAAGTCCTTTCAGTGAAAAAATCATTCTGCATCTAAATTATCACATCTCTCAGTGAGTCATTCTGAACTATTGCATGTGTGTATGCTACACACATCTTGGGTTCTTCTATAGTAAATCTTATACTTAATGCAGAGAAATAATTTTGAAACTATTTTGATGTTTTGATGTTTGATGTAAGTTGTTTTTTTTTTCCTTGAGGACATTTGGTTTGAAATGGGATGCTTTGATAGCAAATCAAGGATATACAGTCTGTAATATCTGTGAGTCCAATCCATGATGCTAAGGGATACAAGAACTTAAAGGGCCTGAATGCTCCTAAACTTAGATCATGACAATTCTCTAAGGCATTTGAATAGATCAGGAAATACAAATTTGCAAATTTGAGTGTGTCTGTACATGTAAATGCCCTCTAAGATGTATTATCTAAAGAAAGAAACATATCTCAATACATTGAGATGGACATTTTATTTCTGGAAAGTGACATTAAAACAATATGGAGTTTTAATATCGTTAGAAGGTATTATTTTGAAAATTTTATGGTGCTTTCCTTTTCCATGTTTGTTGTTAATGTTTGATTTACATATATCAGTTTATGTAAAAAGAGAGAATATTTCTTTTTGTTTCTTGGCATCTTCCAAGGCCTGAGTAAAAGACAATCATCAGTACTGTGAATGGGCTATGTCCTCAATCATTATGTTGGTTCTCCACCTTTAGCTCCTATTATTGCCCACAGGCTGGGCTCCCAGGTAACTCTATATGTTTTGCTAAACCATCAAAAGAATTAATTTCAATCTCAAATTTCTTTAAAAGAAGTCATTTTTATAACTTGTATTGTGTACATATTATTCTTTTTTCCTTTTTATTTTTTGTCTTTTTCGTTTTTATCGGTACCAAGGATTAAACTCACGACTACCTCCTTGCAAGGCAGGCACTTATGCCGCTGAGCTAAATCTCCAGCCCTACAAATTATTCTTAGAATTACAAACAACTTCTGTTATGAGTAATTGGCTGTAAAAGCCTGTATGAACAGTGGTTCTCTTTACCCAACTCACTTCCTTTGCTTTGATCCAGGCATGGCAAATTTATAAGGTATATTTAGCATGCTAGCCAGAATGACATGGACAGGAAAGAAACATGTTATCCAAAATGACATGGACAGGAAAGCAGGACCAGGGAAGGAGAATCTGCCAGAGCCTTTTTAATAGTTGATACATTGTGTTAACTTGAGAAATTTAGAAGTTTATGCAACTCAGCAAGGGATCAGTTTCCTCATTTTATAAACATACTCATTCTGTGCAAAAAGAGAGCATGGAGATGGTATAAGTGCTACACCCACACTACGGGGTAGTAGTCTGCATTCAATATAAGGGGGAAAAGGTGCTTTCTTCACCCCTTTTTGCTCTTACTGCTTTTGCTGTCTTCTGCTGCCTTGAGCTATTGCCTCTGTGCAATGCCATCTTGCTTTGGAGCCAGCTGATTATGAACTGAAACCTCTACAGACTGTGAGCTAAATAAACATTTCCTTCCTCAATTTGGGCTTTGAGTATTTTGTGTCAACACTAACCAAGACAGGCTTTAAATAAAAAAGAGGCTGTGAATGTTTTCAGTACTGCCAAGTTCCAAGACATGCAGAAGAATAGGCTCAGGTAATAATTTTGAGTACCAGAGGCATTTTTAGTACTGGGCTTTTTTTTTTTTTTAATCTGTAGCAGGCAAGTCCATTCTGCTCTTTTCCAGCTACCTAATTTTTGAATCTGATACCTTTACCTGTTGATGATATTTTGTAGCTGAGAAACTTAGGCACTCATTAAAGGTGGCCCAAGCACAGATAGAATGTGATTGACCAAAGCCCTTATTTCTTTTGTCCAGCTTTTAGGATTCATAGCCTGGGCTTTGGATGACTTTCTTACAGATGAGCAGGATGACAAGAATGTCTGAGTTTCTCTGCAAGGGCTATAGGTGTCATAGAATAAACTCTCTGTATTTCTCATCCTACAAATAGAAGAGCATTTCAAAATATGTCTTTTGAAAAGAATGGAATTATAGATTTGGAAACAAATGAATCAGAGGAGATTAGAAATAGAACCTTACCCTGTAATTTAGACAAATTTCTTAATCCTAATCATCCTTCTTTAAATGTGTATTATATCTCTACTCTTGGCTATTATAGAGGTTAGTTGTCTAGCTAGTATCTAGCAAATGATAAATACTCAAGGACTGTTAGCTACTATGAATTGAATGATTATTATTACTTTGTTAATATATGGGATTCTTTATCAAAAGAATAATGATGATGTTGAACAAAATTTAACATATGCTAACAATGAAATTATGTCACTTTTGTCATGAATTTCAGATGTTCTGGTGAAGAATTCCTGACAAGTCTGGGTATTGATGTATCCCCTTGGGGCTTATGGAAGAATCACGTGGCTTTGGCTGTTGTAATGATTGTCTTCTTCACAATTACTTTCATAAAATTGATATTAGTTAAAAAATATTTTTAAATTCCCCTTAATATACTGTGAACCAGTGTTATTTTATCATTAAAAAAGCATGATAGCCAAATATGTTGATATCATTGATAAAGGTAGGTAGAACTTACTGATACTTCTTTCTGGAGATTTATAATATGTCAAGATTATAAGAGGAGATCTTTGGCTCTTGTACCATGTTTGGGACTTTTGGTTCTCTTTGCTGCCTTCTTGGAGAGTTAAATACTTTACAATATGTATATCAGAATTTGCTTAGAATCTTTGGAAAGACACATTGGGATCTTGCCTTCTGGGATAATATCCAGGAGAATATTACATGGGACCTGGGTTACATGGGACCTCTAATTCTAGCTTTCTGAGAAATTTCCACACTGATTTGCACAGTGGTTGCACAAATCTACACTCTTGCCTACAGTGGAAAAGGGTTTCTTTTCCCCCACAGCCTTGTCAGCATTTATTTGTTGTTGGTTGATTTCCTGAAGATAGCCATTCTTTCTGTAGTGAAGTAGAATCTCAGTGTTGATTTAATTCACATTTCTTGAATGAGCAATTACACTGAACTTTTTTTCATACATTTGCTTGCCATTTATATTCCTTCACCTGAGAAGTGTGTATTTACCTCAGATGCCCATTTTTTAGATTGGATCTTGAATTTTGGGGCCTGATTTTTTTTTTTCTTAATTCATTGTATGTTCTAGATAGAAGTCTTCTGTCTGGGGGAGACTTGGTTAAGATTTTCCCCCAACTCATGGGTTTACTTTTCACTCTGTTATGTCTTTTGACATGCTGAAACTTTTTAATAAAATGACATCTCAGTTGTTGATTCTTTGAAGTATTTCTTGTGCAGTTTTTTTCATGAAACTCTCTACCTACTTCTATCTCTCCAAGATTATAACTACTTTGTCTTCCAGCAGATTGAGTGTTTCTGTTTTAATATCTAGACCTCTGATCCATTTTGACTTTAGTTTAGTACATGGTGATAGACATGTGTCTAGTTTTAGTCTTTGATGTAAGGAAAGTCAGTTTTTTCAGTACCATTTGTTAAAGAGCTTATCTTTCTTCCTGTTTGGCCCCTTCTTCAAAGAAAAGACACTTAAGTGTGTTTGTCATTTTGTCTGTATCTTCTATTACATAGTTCTTTGGGTTTGTTTTATTGCCAGTATCATACTGATTTTATCTCACTATCTTTATAGTGTAATTTCAAAGCAGGGATTGTGATGTCACCTGATTTACCTTTGTTTCCCAGGATTGCCTTTGCTATTCCAGAACACTTCTGATTTCAGAAGAATTTTAGTTATGATTTTCTAGATCCATGAGGTAGGCTAATGGGATTTTGATTGAGACTGCATTAAATCTGTATAACAGTTTTGAGAGTATGGCTATATTCGCAATGTTTGTTCTTTCTATACATGAACAAGGAATATCTTTCCATTGTCTGGTATACTCTTTCTTTCTTCAGAGTACTGTAATTTTGATTGTATAAATCTTATAATTTTTGTTAGATTGTTTCCTAAGTATTTCATTGTTTTTGGATGCTATTATGAAGGGTGTGGTTTTCCTAATTTGTTGCTCAGTGAGGTTGTTGTTTGTGTATAGGAATACTATTGATTTTTGAGTGTTCACTTCGTATGTAAGTATGCTACTGAGTTTGGTTATTATATATAGAAGTATTTCAGTGAAGTTTTGGAAGTCTTCTATGTAGAGTATCATGTCTTCTGCAAATAATGATAATTTAGCTTCTTCCTTTCCTAACTTTATTTCTTTTATTTCTCCCTCTGGTCTAATATCTCTGGCCAGAATTTCCAGAATTATATCAAATAGAAGTGGTGATAAGTGAGCATCCTTGTCTTATACATGATTTAGACTATAATTTCTCAGTTTTGGTCCAATTAGTATGATGTTGGTTGTTTGTCAAAGATTGCTTGTATCAGACTAATGGAAAGACTATTCTGATTTTCTGCAGGGTTTTTGTCATTAATGAGTGCTGGATTTTATGAAAAGATTTTATTTTGTCTATTTTTATTACCATGTGATTTTTGTGTTTGACTCTTTATGTGGTGTATTACATTTATTGATTTGTGTATGTTGAACCATTCTGTTCTCCTGAGATGAATCTCATTTGCTCCTAGTGTATAATGTTCCTGATGATTTGTGGCATTCTGTTTAGTAATGTTTTATTAAAAAGTTTTGCATTTAGAGATTGATGTATAGTGTTCCTTTTCAGTTAAGTTTTTTCTCAGGTTTTTATACCAGGGTAATATTAAGTTCCCAGCATGAATTAGGAAGAATTGATTCTCTTTCAATTTCATTAAAGAGTTTGAGGAATATCAGCATTAGATTTTCTCTAAATTTTTTATAATTCATCTGCAAATTCATCATTATGTGGGATTTTCTTTTTGGTAAGTTTTTAATTACGTTTTCAATTTCACTAAAGGGTATTGGATTTTTGAGAGGTTTTATATTTTCTTGATCCAGCTTTGGTATTTCACATGTTTCTAGAAATCTCTCCATTTCTTCTGTCTTCCATCCTATGAGAGTAAAGATTTTTGAAGTAGGTATTGATGATCTTCCCTATTTCCACAGAATCTATAGTGATTCAAGGCTCTTCATTCCTTATTGCATGAATTTAAGTTTTTTTTTTCATTTTTGTTAAGGTTGGCTAGGGATTTATCAATTTTATTCTTTCAAAGGACCAACTCTTCTAATCATTAATTCTTTGTGTTGTTTTCTTAGTCTTGGTTGTGCTATTCTCTGCTCTGATCTTTATAAATTTTTCCCTGCTTTCTGCTTTGGGGTTTGGGCTTTTTTTTAGAAGTTTGAAGTACAGTATTGTGTTGTTTATTTGTGCTTGTTCTGATTCCCTAACATGGTGATTCCCCCCTATAAATTTTTCTCTGAGGACTGATTTCTTTGCATCCCACAGATTCTGGTAAGTTGTATTTGTATTTTTGTATGATTGTTTATATTGATTTTTTATTCTTTGATTTCCTGTATGACACATTGGTTTTTTTGATAGGGTGCTATTTAATTTCTATGTACTATGGAGCTTTTTCAGCTTCTTTTGTTATTAATTTCTAGTTTCACTGCACTATTGTCACATAATATTCATGAGATAATTTTAATTTCTTTGTATTTACTTAAGCACATTCTATGATCTAGTATATGATCTATTTTAGAGAATGTCCCATGTACAGCTGACAACAATGTGTATTCTGACGTTGTGTGGAATGCTGTAAACATCTACTAAGTCCATTTGTTCACAGGTTTCATTCAGTTCAGTTATTTCTTTGCTTATTTTTTGTCTACTTGATCTGTATCTTTCTGACAATGGGTTTTTAAGCTCCCTGCTCTAATTCTATAATTGTAATTTTTGGTGCTTAATAATTTTTGTCATATATTTAGATGCTCCCATGTTTGGTGCATATACATTTATGACTTTATAACAATTTTCTTCTTGAAACTTTGCTCAAACAAATATGTAGTGACCTTCTTTATATATTCCATTAATTCTTGAAATTATTGAAAATAGAATAGCTATGCTTTCTTTTTTCTGGGTTCTTGTCACATGGAGTATTGTTTTCTATACTTTGACATTCAGTCTACGAATTTCCTTTTGAGTTAGGTATGTTTCTACTACACACAATACTGGTGGATTTTGTTTCTTCATTCATTCTGTTTCTTTAGATTGGTGAATTGAGGACATTTAAATTATTGGTGATAACTGATGTATATTACCTTATCTTTGTCATGTCATCTTTCTGCTGTTAGTTCCCTACATTTCTCCTCTGTTTGATTGCTTGCCCTAATGGTGGTTTCTTTCTGTTGTTGTTCTTGTAATTGTGGCTATTTTAATCTCTTTCTAGAAGGTCTTCCATACTCTTTATAGAGTAGGAAGTATCATATTTCTTCATCCATTTTGAAAACTAGCTTTGCAGGGTACATAAATCTGAGTTGGAAGTTGTTTTCTTTTAGGACTTGAAATGATTCACTTCATGCTCTTCTTGGCTTGATCATTTCTGCTGAGAAGTCTGTTGTGATTCTGATAGGCTTTCATTTGTAAGTGATCTGTTTCTCTTCTCTCGGGGCTTTTAATATTCTGTTCTTATGATCAATTTCTGAGATCTTGATTGTTATATGTCTATTATGATTTATTTTGGTTATGGCTAATTAGAGTTCCATAAACCTCACTTATCTGTATGTCAGATATTTTTGTATAGTTGGTAAATTTTCTGCTATTACTTCTAAAAAAAACTCTTTATGCCATTTGTGTTGCCTCCTTTTTTTTCACTGGTACTCGTCAGTATATATTGTTTTTCTCTGCATTACCTTGCAGCTGTTTCTTTGTTATTTGTAAGAGATATTTGCTTTTGTGTTCACTAACTGCAATCATGTCTTCAAGGTCTAAGTATCTATCTTTAGTTTTGTTCATGAGCTTTTACCAGTCTTTGATGGAACTTTTGATTTCCTGGACATCTTTTTGAATCTGTTTCATGTATTTTAATTCATTCTTATATTGTTCATTCCAGGTTTCTATCATTTTCCTATGCTACTCTATTTTTTTAAATCTATGTCTACTTTGGACATTTTCACTAATTCTTTCATTACTTTTATCATTTTTGTTAACCTCAGAGATTATTCTGATCTAAATTCCTTTACAATTTCATGTAGGTGTTTCTCTACTAATGTTGCTATCATTTCAGGAATTTTAGGTTTTTAATTTCCAATTTCTTTCATTGTTTTTGATGTGCTTGAGGGTCTGAGATGGCATTTTTCCCCTTCATTTTGGCATTTCCTGTGTTCTTCCATATCATCTGGATGCCAAGTCCTAGTTGCTTCCCTCAGTCGTGTCCCACTCAATAATGGTGTTTACTGAGGATTTTCAAGTGTAGTTGGGAAACTGGAGGTGGATGGGTTCCTGGGTGTGGCTACTTGGTTCCTTTAGGTATCACTGAGGGTCCCTGCATAGCTACAAGTCTCTGGAAGCTGCCATATGAAGGGTTTGTGGGAGTCAGAAGATATCTAGGTATAGCTTTCAGATCTGTGCTGGCTTCAGTGAGGGTTCCTGCATGTGAA